CAGCTTCAGCTTTAAGCATCCACACTGCATTTTCGCAGGAAATGCAAATTTTTCTAGTTTACTCTGGAACAGGCTGAAAACGATGTGAGTCAGAGAAGCTCACTGCTGACAGCGATACTGAGGCTATCCTGAAATTTTCCGTGGGTAAGTGTTTTGCTCACTTAATCCCGTTAGCTGTTTTTAGTTTGCATTAATGAATTTGTCTTTGAAGTAGATCTAAGTTTGTTGGACAAAGTTGTAGGATGTGAGGAAGTAATCAATCTGAGGGAAAGCGTAATTTTTAGGACACTCACAGGAGGTGGCCTAATGTTAGCTTATAATAGCTCTTTTTGTTTAGCCGGCTCGCTGTCACGGAGACAGGACGGTCACATGTCTAATCAGCTGACAGTGACAGTACTGGTGTGCAATCATAGACATTAATTCTCAGAATATTTCACTGGTAGGGTTTTAATCCTCTGATAGTGTCATGTTTGTAGCAGGTGACACTCGCGGGGATCGTGTTCTGTCACATGAGCTGTGAAATGTCCCTTTCAGATTGGTCACATGATGCCAGCTCCGCCCCTTTCATGTGAACACACAGGTTAAGACTGTCACAGGTGCATCTATGTGGGTTACCTGGGGTCGCCGTAGCGATGTGGGTGGTGCTGCAGAACGTCCTGGAGGAAGCGCTCCAGCAGCGTCAGTCTGTTTCTGCCGCTTGCTGAGGAGGTGGACCCTGAGCCTCTGGAGGACGCCCGGACTGAATCCAGGTGTCTGAGACTGGACAGGTGCTGAAAAAGACACACGACGTGATCAGAGAGTCACATGACCTAAGGGCACGTTCAGGTTCTCCTGTGACGTGTGTGCATACCTGGTCCAGGTTCCTGTACAGGACTCTGCAGTAACCACAGTAACCCTGTCTGCTGGGCTGACACCTGGATGGGCCAGGCTGAGGCTCCGCCCACATCCTGTCACACAAACAACACATGTGACCACACCTATCTCTGATACAGAAGCTGAACGCTCCTGCACAGGTACACTCACCTGCTGGTAGGCTCTGCCTTCCTCTGGTCATCTGAAAGAAACACACA